CAGTACCCCAGGTTGAAAAAACTGTTCTATAAATATTGGTGGTAATCAAATCTCCTCACTTAGAAACAGGACCTGGAGCATTTGCCTGTCCTTTTTCTTAGAAAACAAATACTACCATTAATTGCTTGGACTAAAGGGTGCTCTGTTGATTGTGTTCAGGCTGCAGTTGCCATGAGCATCAACCAGAAATTTTAATTTCTGTGTCTAGGATGATTCACCTGTTCAGTACTCAGAGCTGCAGGGAGCAGAAGGGATTTAAGTCACCATGGGCTCACCAGACCAAAGCACTCTGTAAATCCCAAATTCCTCTATCAAACCCCTCCATGCTAGGAGAAAAACAAATTCAAGTTATTTTAACCCTCTTACCCATTTTTGTCAGTAACTTATTTTTCAAATTATGGTTTATTGACACACTGTATATTTTTAACCAACTTGTTTTAAGATCATTAATCTTTTGTGTTGGTAGTAATGATGTTCTGATTTATGTCTTCCTCATTCTGCAGTGGAAAAGCGGGAAGCAGTGTGATCTACAGGATGTGAAGCACAACTGGGGAAAAACCCTGTGCTTATGCTCTGAAAATGGCCTATTTCCATGTGGATGTTACCTGGTTTCCTATAGAAGATAAGTAGGTGGTTCCATGAGCTGCTGGAGGTAAACTGGGTTCGGCTGCCTGTCTCTCTGCCTTTCCAGCTGCCCCATCACCTTCCCTTTGTGCCGCTGAACCTTGTTTCCCCACCACGTGCCTGGGAATGAAGCAGGGCAGGAGCGAGGGTGGTTCTGCTCCCCCGAGGTGCAGGGAGGGAGTGGGGTGGAAGAGGGGATGGCCACAGCCAGAGGAGATGCAGGGACCACGGTGGGAAGCCCCAGGGCTGCGTTAATGTGGCTCAGTCGGTCTCGGACAGCGGTGTCAGACCAGGGCTGCTCCTGCTGCCCTGCACAGGGAGCAGCCACAGCAAAGGAGGGCTGGAACAGGGAATGGCAGTGCCACTCTGCATGTCTGCTCCTGGTAATCCTGGCTGCTGGGGGATGAGAACCTGGAGGTGGGAATAACATAGAACAGCCTTCCACAGCAGCAAAGACATCGCTGTTCGTCTGTCCCAGAGTTAAACCCATCCCAGGGAAATGTCCCAAGTGTCCCCTCCTGGCTCTTTTCAGTACCAAGCTTCATTTTAGGAGTGTCTGTCTCATGTACAGCCATTTATGCAACATTGTTTATAAAGGAAGGGCCTGTGCACTTCAGGGATACTATGAAGAAAAATACTAATATATGGTCATTGAGTATTTTGTATTGAATAGTGTATTTGTATTGTAAACAAGTGTAGTGAATCACAAGGCATGAAGACAAATAAAGTGACAGTAGCTGGATTTCTCCGTGTTGGGCTGTGCAATGATTGAGTCAATGTCCAGATGTCTCTGGACATCCATTTTTACTTGGCAAAGTTGCAGAATTATTAAGGTGATGAATACTCTAAGGAGTAGGTTTGGTGGTACCCTGAGCCACCTTTTGGGCTTGCAGCTGCTGTTCCAGATCTCTTTACATTGCAGATGTGTCTTGGTTTGAAAAGACAGGCGCCTGATAAGGATGGCAGGAGCCTCCCTGAAATGGAAAATGTAACCCCCCTCTCTCCAAATTCCTATAAAATTTAAATTAGGGGCTCTCAGGCAACAAATATGGGAGCAGGAATAACAGTTCTTTAATAGGGAAGAAAATAAAAGGATAAAATAAACAATGCAGTAAACTAAAACAGAGTCAGAACCCACCCTGACACCCTGTGGATCAGGGTGTTGGTAGCAGTCCAATTGGAATTGTGGCTGCAGTCCCCCTAGAGTGTCAGGTGTGGTTCTGTTGGAGCAGGGATCCTGTAGAGAAGGATGCATTCTTCCTCTGAAAATCCACTGGAAGGAGAGGCAGCTGCTGTTCCTCTGGGGAATCCAGTGGAGAAGCTGTGCTGGTGTTCCAGAATCTCCAGATTATATCCAGGTAGCAATGCTTGGCTCCTCCCTCTGGGTGCAGCATCTCCCAATGGGATGCTGTAGTTCTTATCAGTCATGCAGTGACATTCAATAGCCTGTTATCAGCAGATGTCTCCCTGGAGGGAGGAGTGATTGTGGAAGAGATAAGGAAAAACTGCCCACTTGCCAAAGGACAACTGCCAGACAGACAGCAAATAGAATACATCTTGCCTTGCCATCTGGAACAAGATGCTACACACCAAGTTTCTTGTAGGGAAAGGTGCCCTTCTCTCTGTCACATGCAAGGCTGGCTTTTACCCACAGCAAACTGGCCAGTACAAAAGCAGAACAAAGGATATGGCTGAAGACAGCATTTGGGAGTTTTCCTAAAGGTATGTATCTAAGACAGCTTTTGAGTCTAGACTGAGGGTAGGTCTACATGGAAGATGTATTTAATTCATATTCAGTGTTGAAAATGACACTATTGGATCTTGTGACAATTCTAGGAAGAGACAGCTTGTGCCCTGAAACACTTTTTTATCCCATCCCATATCACTCCTATGGCCCAGGCAGCTGCATTCTCATGAAATGCTCCTTGAAATTAGGACTGACTTAATATAGATAAACTTTCTCCTTCATGTGCTCATTCTACAGCAGGATAGTGTCTGGTTTGGTTAACAAGACTTCTCCAGTAGGCACCTCTCCCCTCCCTCCTTTTCTTCCCTGTCTTAACTCAAAAGGGAGCTCTCCTATGCTCTTCCAGGAACAGGGCTGGTCAGCAGCCAGCCACCACAGCCTGGTTTGGATCTGGCACTGGCTGGAAATCTCTGCTGTAATTCCCCTTTTTCCCAGAGTTGTCAGTCTGCAGCCAGGCAGGGAAAAGGATGCAGATGGGTGCTTTGTTACGTGGCTTTCATGGACAGTTTCAGTTTCCCCCTGGTCCTTGACAAGGCTTCTGCAAACTCTGAACTCTGGAACAGCCATGACAGAAAGGCTGGATTTGCCACCTCCCACAGGTGATAAAGAGTTAATTTGTCAGAGGAACTGTGCTGTGTCCAGCAGCTCTGCAGAGCCAGCCTTGGATCCATGTGCAGCACTCTGAAGGCACAGGCTCCCTGCCCAGAAAACCATTGCTGTCACCATCTGCAGAGCAGTCACTGAGTCCAGCTCAGCTGAGCTCCTTAGAAATTAATTCTCCATCTTCAGACACCTCAAGAAAATTCTCATCCCCCTGTCATGTGCACCTGTGGTCTCTCCTTTCCAGCCAGTGTTCAAGAAAACTTGAAAGACTTAATTGCTAAGAGTATTGAAGGACATTTTCTTCACATGCTGTGGGACAAAGACTGGCCTCAGAGTCTGCACAGAGAGCACAGAATTGCTGGGGACCATCTGCTTATTTATTTATAAACTACACATAATGTTTTATTTATGTAGTTTCTCAGGACTTTGAGAATCATTTGGCTTTTTTTCTAACCAGTCAGGGGCTGTGAGAGTACCGTCCTCTGCACAGCACCTAATTTCAAACTTCACTGCCACTTATTGTCAGAATTTTCTTTATGACACAGTGTCTTCCTGTAAGAGTTGGAGTAAAGAATTATGGCAACTTACCTTGGATTTAGGGAAGCACAAATCCCTTCCCCTCATCACCTTGAAGAGAGCCATCAGTAATCCTTTCTGGAATGGACTGATTTCTGTTTCAGACAGCATAATTTTACAGTGCTTCTTGCTTCCTGGCAGAAGATTCTGAGAGCTTCCAAAACAGCTCCATGCTGATAACAGTGAGACTGCTCCTCTGAGCTACAGTGCTGGAGCCACTTACAGCCAGGGCTTCCAGCAGAGATGTGCTGCTGGCTGGGGCTGGAATGGAAGGCAGAGCACAGCACACCAGTGCCAGATGGTGTCTGTGCCCTCTCCTGCACCCATCAGGCAGCTTCAGAGAGGCCCAGGCCCTCCGTCCAGCTGCACTGTGTGGAGCTGCAGAGCTGTGCAAGGCACCCCTGCAGGAAAAACAAGCTCCCACTGAATCATCTGCGCAAGACAGAACACACAGAAATGCTGTGACTCCAACACAGTGCCCCAGCTCCCTACCTCACCCACACACTTCTTCCCACACCTACCTCCTGGAGAACTCCAGCCACCCTTCAGAACTCCTTCACCCTTCCACCCATTCCAGCTGGTCAGGCAGGGAAAAGAGCATTCCTGGTGATGCTCCTCCACTGCTCTCCCAGGAGCACCAGGCAGTGACAGAAAACCTTCTGGATTACAGCTCACTGAACTCCCTGCACTTCATTTGTACAGGAGAACAAGAAGTAAGAAATGTACATTCTGTAAAGACCCCATGAAAATTCTTTTTGCTCTTCTATTTAACAGGGTTTCATTTTATTAATATCAGCAGGAAACAGATATTAGACAAAGTAAAGTTCAGTACGTCACTGAATATCTGCATCTCTAAATATAAAGCATTACTTTTTTTTTTTACATTCAAAATTTACAGCTTCTATATTCAATTAAAATTCCCATGAGTTAGAATACAATATGCATTATTTTAAATACAGATCAGGAAAAATAACTACAGCAACATTTAAAAGAAGGTTACAGCAGCAGGATTCTGTCTAAAAATACGATATTATGATTTAAAGTATCACTTCTTCAAGTAGGCAAGAGCAAGCAAATAATTTAAGAGTAAAATGACTGTTCAGGAACACAAACCCATCCAGTTAAGATAATGTTTACATATGCTGAGCAATTAAAATACATTCTATGTTTAAAATATGGACAAAAAATTAGCTGTTCTAAAAGGCTGATACACAAATGATGTCACATAAAGGCCCATTACAGAACTGTACCTAAAATTATCCTTAAGTCATCATAAGATCTCCCAAAAAAATTATACTGGAAACTGTTCCAAAGCAAACAAAAAGAATCAGTGTCACAAACTAATCAAACAATGGCAACAGCTTGCTTGAAAACTCTGTATCTGTTCCATACCATTGGCAGGAATTACCTTGCTGTATTTATACAGACTTAATATTTATGATAAGATATTTATGATAAGGGAATGATGTATTCCACTCTGGGTTTATTTGCATTTTACAACCGTGATACTCATTGCCTGCAGCACCCCAAACAAAACAAATAGTCTCTAAAAATGAGGGTAAGCTCTCCAGGAGAGTGCAAAGTGCATTATTTTAAAGAGTGCATCTTGTAAGTAGCTCGTTCTACAAATGCAGAACAAAAAGTGCTTGTTACTGTACAGACTGACATGCAGCATATTTGTGCTTTTTAAAGGCTTCTTATTAATTGCTGCTCTTCACTAGGAGAGGGGAAAATCCTTATATTTATCAGCCCTTTTGTATTATGGAGAGGAGGACAGGAGGAGGGGGAAAGAGGAAGAGAGATCTGAACAGTAAAATGCAAAAATACTCCACAACTGTTTGGAAAAGGGTGGGGAGGGTGGGGGGTTTGGCTTTTACTTTTCCTCCTTTCTTATTGCTAGCAGCTGGTATTGGAATTGACAAAGTGCCCAGGAACCAGGCTAATGTCACCCATCAACCACCTCCACTGTCAAAAGCAGGCAATGCACAAACATTTCCAGTTCATTACCACATGGAGAAAAACCCTCTGAATACTGCATGAACCACACAGGAGCTTTAGAGAACGCTGCAGTCACTCTGTTCTCCAACTGGAATGGTTTTCAAATGATGCAGCATCTTAAACCCAAGATGCTTTAATAACCTTCCAGGCAAGGGTCATTAAAGTAAGAGAAACTCAACAGTGGTTCTACTTCTTAACATGACTGAACACTTTTTTCTCTCTCTATTTTATATATGTATATATATTTATATAAAATATATATATTATATACACACACATACATATACACTGCTATATGTAAAACGCAAAACGCAGATTTAAAGATCCCAAAACAAGTTTGCATTCTAGGCAGGGGGGTTCCTTTGTGCTTTGCAGTCCTCCTCCCCACTCTGTGGGGCTCAGCAGATGTCATCCACGAGCCTGGCGCCGTTGATGCCGCGGTAGGTGACCCTGCTGGGCCGCACCAGCACGCCGTGGTTCAGCCTGCAGCTGAAGTAGCGCCGCTGCCCCACCGAGCCGTCGTTCTTGCCCTTGGCGCTGCGCAGCTCCAGCCCCAGCCACACCCCCGGGGCAAAGTCCGTGGGGCCGATGTACCTGATGGTGCCCATCTCGTTGGAGCTGCTCAGCAGCACCTGGGAGCCCTCGTGCAGCTTCACGGGCCCCTCGCAGGCAGCGGCGCCGCTGCTGCTGCTGCTCCAGCTGCGCCGCAGCACCGAGCTCTTGGACCTGGCCAGAAAGGGAAGGGAACAAACAAGTCCTTTTTTTGTTATAAAACATCCAAGGGGACTCTAATTCAAAAAACACACCCTCAAATCCCTTTCTAGAAAAACTGGGTTGGATCTCACGTAGCTAACAAACCATGAAATAACAGTAACAGGCTGCTGCACTCGTATTGGAAAAGCAATTTCCTTCAGCCAGTGCTAGGATCTACAGTATTTACAGCAGGTGATAGTATTGGTAAATTAAGCCATACAAAACATTTTATTTGGGGCTTAAAACAGTTTAACTGAAACAACTTTTAACATACAACTGTCAGTCAGGATCACCAGAACAAAGTGAAGTCCTTTACCAAGAGCCTCTGAAGTTCACCCAGCTGTGTGAAAATACAAGAATTTGGAGAATATGATTGGAAAACAACTTTAATGCCAACCTGTATTCTAGGACTGTACTCCTGGATGCCCATGGAAAAACAGTGTACTACTGGTTCATTTTGAAAAAAAAAAAGAACATGTAAAGGTCTAGATATCCTATATGCATGAAGGGTTTTTCTTGAGCAAAGCTAACAGCCACTTGAAACTCTTAACACTCACCTAACAAAGGCATTTCTTCTGTTTATCTCCTTTTGTGAAGAGGCAGAAGTGCTGCTTAGACTGCGTCTAAAACCTGAGTGGAAAGATTAATAAGCTGTGTAGGACTTCTTAAGGGAAAAAAAAAAACATCTTTATGAACACATATTCTTTGTGGGGTTTTTTATACTGCTTCCACTACATTTATACTGCTTCCACTGCACATTCTCCCCTCTAATTTGGAAATTAAATGATGACATTTCTCACGAACATATATGCCTGTAATATGTTTGGCTTTTCAGAACGAACAGAAATTAAATTAAACAAACCAAACAAGGGCCATTTGAAGGTCTTTTCACGAGACGCTAAGAAGGAAAAGAAAACCAACTACTTCAAGTACCTCACACAAGTTTCAGTAATTTCATAGGCACATCCTCCCCACTGATCCCTTCATCAATCTCAATTTGTGCTGAGGAACAGGTTCTATTTCCCTTTCTCTCTGATTAGAATTTAATATTAGCAGTAAGGGAAGACTGCCAGCCAGCAATGGTAACTGACAATTCTTTCTGCCAGTGGAGTGTTAAGATCAATACAGTACTGCACAGTTCCTTCTGCAGGCTAGATTTTTGGGAAGGGAGCAGCCAGACTATTGGCTGGCATTTGGGGTCCCTGAAAATCTCTTGTGTTTTTGGGGAAGTTGGCTTTGTGCAGATGGTTCAGGCTGCAGAGCAGGACCTGCCTCACCCAAATCCCAGTATCTCCCACTCCTACCTGGAAAAGTGTGAGCTGCTTTACTCCACGAAGTCTCTGTGAGAGAATCCAGAGAACCAGTCAGTCTGAAAAGCAGTAACACAATAAAGAGGTCATTTCAACTCAACTCTGAACAAACCCACTGGCTTCTTGTCAAATATTGATGAGGTTTTCAATCTTTCCTTCTTCATCTGCCCCCAAGAGACACCAGCATTCCTGCTGCACTCAGGCTGCTGTGCATGAAGTGCCTGGAGAAAGTCAAAGTATTTGAGTTACTTGCCTCTCACTCACTGAGACAGCAGGTATGATTCTGAGGCAAGTTCCTAAGAGTTTGCCTGAGCTGGCTTACTCAGAGAAATAAAAGCAAGAACATGTCTGGCAGAGTAACTACATACAAATACAGGAGGAGAGAGTACAGAACTCCTTGGATGCTCTTCCTGGATCCTAAGGAAGACACTACAAGCAAGTGGTGCAGGCTTTGGATCCTCTGTGCAGTTAGCTGGGATAAAAAGAGCCTTTTTTAGTCATGGCCAAGCGCCACTTCCTTTTATAATTGAATTTAGCAGAACACATCAGGACTGGGTCATGAAACTAAGGTTTAATTCATGAAACTAAGGTTTAATGAACAGAGAGTATCAGAGGCCCTGGAATAAAAATACTTCAGGTAGTTTCAAGAGAAACAGGAGAGAGGAGTCTCTAGTTTTGCATTCTGCTTTCAAAAAGCTGATCTAAAACTACCAGAATTTTAATGGAGGTTATAAACTTATATTTGCAGAAGAAAACATTTGTATCTTCTGTACGTGTTCAAAAATTTGTTCCATGTTGGAAAATGCATTAAGAAATCATTTGGCAGCCCCAGCATGACAAGAGCTGCAGTGCTCACCTCTGTACACGAGATGGGGGTGCAAATATGCCATATCTGGGGAGGCAGCTGAAGTACTGCACTCCTCCCACGGAGCCATCGTTCTTCCCGTGGGGCTTGTCCAGTTCAATCCCACACCAGAACCCTACATTGCAAAACAGTAAAATCAGGGCATTTGGAACAAAACACTACAGGCTTTGCTTCATCTAGACCACTGGCACAGTTGGCATTCACACACATCAAGGATAACAGTGTCTAGTCAGAAAATATCAAGATGCTAATAGTTAATAGGAATATTAAAAAATAGCTATCTATGCAATTATGCAAAAATTGTACCCTAATAAATCTAATTATCTCAGCATTTTAATATGCTTTCAATAAAATTATTGACATTTTAATTAATACAAAAAAGTTAAAACATTTGAGGCATATATATATATACATACTAAAGTAAAATAGAATGTTACTGGCTATAACTGGCTACTGGACAACAAGGAGACAGCAAAGAGCAGCACTGCTGTTTCACATTTCTCTCTTCATTCCTCTGACCACATGGTTTATGCCTCATCTGAGATCATCAACAGTAAAATTAAAGTTTTTATATTAATTCATTCTTTCCCTCTTTCTAGTAAGTTATAATTAATCCAAATTGCAAGGTTGGTCGTATGATATCAAGAGAAGGGTGCAAAAATTGGAACTGGCCATCAATTAATCTCACACAGAACACTGAATAGGCAGCAAGATGTTAATGAGCTTGATCATTCATAACCTGTGATAAATGTGAGCTAATTACACAAAGGTGCTAAATTTCATACTCCATTAGTAGTCCTTATGCTATCCATCCCCAGAAGATTCAGAATTTAATTCAAGTCACTTGGTGCTAAGGCACTGGATAAAACTGTAATTCTAATTATCAGCTCAAGAAACTCAAGAATGACAGCTTATGAATTAGAAGGGCTCAGTATATCAGAAGTTCTCCCCTTCCCACTTTTAGAATTAAATAAAGATCTGCATTGCAGCAGGAGGAACAAACCTTGGATAAGTTCCAGAGCTTTGATACACATTAGAACTGAAATACTTAAACATGCATCTGCTACATTTTCTATAAATTACTGGGTTAGCAAATGGTGATGATTTGTCATCTTTCCATCCTCACTTCTTACAATAGTGTGTTTTCCTCAAAAAAATTATGTTCCTGATTTAAAGCAGAGAGGGAGGAGACTTCATAGTCAAACAGCTTTCAGATTTCAGAGTTGTCAGTGTATGTGGGAAACAGCCCTTTTCTCCCCGATCACTTCCTCAGCAGCACCACAAAGAGTGGTGACACTGAAGTGTCCCTCAGGGCACTGCAGTACCTGAGCAAGGCTGCCCACAGTGAAACTGGGAACGGGGCAGGGATGAAACAACACAGAGCCTGTACCACGGCCTTGCATCCTGACGGCGTTTTTTAAATGCTGATGCCACCCAGTGTCACCACAGAGCATTGCCACCAATGACACAGCCCTCACCCAGAGCAGGGGCTCACACCACCACTTACCAGTGCTTCTGCATTACTCTTGCACTAACATTATAGATAGGGCCATAGAGAAGAAAATATTAGATTCAAAATTAATTTCCACAATGCAGAACAACTGGCTGCCTTTGACAGCACTTAGCTTCACTGCAAAGTGTTTTTTAGCAAGGGGAAAGGAGAAGCTGAAAGGGAGAAGGATGAGAAAACAGTGGCAGGGGTTGAGGCTTCTTGAGGTATTTGTAATTTTATTGATCTTACAACCTAAAGGTTTGTTAGTTAAAAGTTTAATGTTCACAATTACCCTCTTAAAGATGCCAATAAGAAATGAGACTGATACATGGCATAAGAGTGCCACTACTGCAACAGTCAAGCTGTGTCAAAAAGCCTTAATACAAAAACTAAGGAGTAAATGAAGGTCAGCTCAATAAACTATATACCCCTTTGGAGACTAAACTGAGGATTTTCAGAAAGCTTTGTTAAGAAGCTGGACTCTGTAGTCCTTGTGGGTCCCTTCTAACCCAGAATATTCTGTGATTCTGTAATACCTACAACTTCAACATCAAAGTATCTCTCCCACATAAATCATAATAGTGGACAAGTAAAAGTCACATTTTAAACCATTATTTTTTCCTGACATTTCCTGCATTAAAGTAAAAATATTCAATGAAACTTAAGAGGGAGAGGGGGAGAGAGAGAAAAAAAACAAAGAACTTGGAAACAAACCAATTTAAATTTAGAATTCTTTTGGAAGGAGTGAGGGAAAAGATGGGTTTCCATTCATGTGCTCACATGTAAGCTATTCCATGCTGATTTGGCAACATACACAGAGCACTGCACATACCTGGTGCAAATTTTGTTGTCCCACAAAATCTAACAGTGCCTGTTCTCTGTCCCACCACCAGTACTCTGTCTCCAACCTGGATTTCTCCATCAAGAGCATTCTTCCTTGTGGTTGGGGAACTATACAACCCTGAACAAGACAAGAACAAGATCTGAAATTAGTGAGATCAAATATTTAAGAAAGCTTACAATAGCAACCCAACTGATTAGTGAACAGAGTGTTTATCTCTAACAGAATGTACTTTCCACACATGGCAACACAAATTTTGCTTAGACAAAAACTTGCTTTGTGCAGCACAAAAACTGAACTACAGCCTTTTCTCTGCTCTGAAAAGGGACAGTGGCAAACTGTAAAAACACTTTGCATCTTGAAGACATTACAAAAATCTTTCTAAAAGTTGCCAAACTTAGGTTTATTGTTAAACTACTTCACAAGTGTCTTTCTCGAGCTATCTCAGATTCTGAAACAACAGAAGCAGTTCTACATAAGTACTTAACACAGCAGTGAACTCCCCCTGTGAAAATACATCTCAGTGCAACAGACCATACCAGCACTAGTCTTAGAGGAGGCAGAAGACACTCTGGTCAGGGCTTTTTTACTGCTGCTCGTTGAGTTCCTCTTCTTGGAGTAATTCCTTTTGCCTTCCAAGGAGGCAGTAGAAGAGGAAGAGCTGCTGTACCCAGGAAAACCTAAAGACATAAATGAGTTGTCCTTCAGGGATTATAATTTGGAAAAGGATAGATTAGGCAGAAGGGAGAGCTTTTGTAACATGGAAGTTATCTGCTCTCCATGGACCAGAGAATACAAAGTGAAGAGCCAAAGTTAGAACTTGTTATGCAGTGTTTGCACAAACAAGTGTCAGGAATGACATGGGCGCACATGACCCTGCCTTGGGAATGTGGTGATAGCTGAATGCTAGAAGAGGTCTCCAAAAGCCCATCTTTATTATTCTATGAAAGTTCATCTAAACAGTCACAAGCATATTTAATAAAATACATGAGCTTTAGTAATAAGAGATCATACCACCAGCCTTTCAGCATCCAGCCTAGTAAAGATTTGATGAGAAGTGGAAGGAAGGTGATATTATGTGAGTGAATTATTGCCTGGATTAAAGCCTACTATATTCTATTACATACTGTATTGATATTAAAATCTGTACTATAAAACAAGAATGGGAAATAAATCACTTTTATTTCCATTTGCAAATCCTAAAGTCTAAACTGTCCAATAAGACTTATGTTCGTCTTTCCTGCTTCCTTTTCAAGGCTCTTCCTCTTATTCCTTTTCTTAACCCCTTCTGCCCAAAATGAGGCAGGGGGTACAGCAAGACACATCTATGCCTCAGCTTATCAATGTGAAAAATTAAGATAATATTGCTTATCAAACTTTCCAGACTTTTGAGAAGCTTCAACCATTAGTTTTGGCAAACAGTTTGATATCAACACAGGGTTCATTTGTTCAATGTAATTTAATTCTCCAATTTTCTAAAACAGTAAGGAAGAATTGAGGAAAGGCAAAGGCAGTGGGTCCAAACAAAACTGAGGACAGAAATCTGAAGACTCTGAGATACTCACTGCAGTTAGGCTACAATAAAGAAAATGCAAATTACTGACTAAATAGTGACTGAACAGGCAAACTTCAGCTCCATGTCCAATATACATACACATTTGCAGACACACACTACATGTATTATTTAAAAGGATTCACTGGAGGTCAGACCACCATTTTTACAGGGATGCAACAAGAACTGCTCCAACTAAACCTGTCATCAAGATATTTCATTCTATGGGAAATCACAGCATGGGAGAAGGAAGAGCAGAAAGGACTTCAGCAGGCCATATAACTGATTCCTTTTCCTTCAGGTGAAACAATTATTTGTCACAACACTCCTGACAGGTGAGTATTTGGCCTGTTCTTAAAAACTTTCCATCAAGGAAATCTCAAGACTTCCTCAGTAGTGTACCTCACCACATAATTATCCCTAGTGTTACAGGGTTTTGCCCTCCCAATATAAAATCTCAATCACCAGCAGTTTAAATCAAGGTTTTTTACTCCCACTACACATGCAGAGTGGGTTACACCAATCCTTGCATTCCAAAGCTTCCAGTTTTATGCCTCTCATCTTCTGGCTTTTTAATCACACAATCACAAATTTCAAGTCTTTACTCCTAACTCATGTTTTATAAATCCAGTTGTTGTCTTTTCTGAATTCACAACTGTTCACTCACAGAAGCTATAAAAAGATGCTTCCTTCACAGACCTGCTGGAGCAAGTCCAAAGGAGGCCATGAAGATGTTTAGAGGGATGGAGCACCTCTTCTATGAGGAAAGGCTGAGAGAGCTGGGGTTGGCAGCTCCAGAGAAATCTCACTGTGGCCTTTCAGTGCCTGAGGGGGGCCTCCAAGACAGATGGACAGACTGTTCATGGGTGGAAGCACTGACAGGACAAGGGGTAGAGGCTTCAGACTGACAGAATGGAGGCTTAGATCAGATATTAGGAAGAAATTCTTTCCTGTGAGGGTGGGAGACACTGGAACAGGTTACCCAGACAAGCTGGGTGATGATATTTAATGACCCTTGATGATCTTTAAGGTCCCCTCCAAGTCAAACTATTCTGTGATTCTGTGCCTTAAAGAAGGAATATTCAAATTCACACTTCAAATTATTCCAAAGAAACACTGCTTTTACCAACACTTACAGTATGATTTTATAGAAAAAACCTTGAAGGGTTTTGTTTGCTCAAGACAGCTGAAAATGAGGTCCCTTTGTGTTTCAAATTCAGCAAAGTACTGCTGTGGTAGAAGTTATCCAATTGTGAAACCAGACAATTGCAGAGAATGATTCACATGCAAAAGGCACTCTTTAAAAGCTATTTTCACTTTTCACATTTGAAGCCTGTTCTTGTGAGTCTGCCATGACACAGCACCAAGGCTGTTAAGCACTGTCAGATGGAAACACTTTATTACAGAAGCATGAACAGACAGATAGAGGAGAGGAAAAAAAACACAACAGAATATTAAAATCTAGGCAGCAACAACACATGGTAAAGGTCTCCCTCAAAAACCTCAGCTGGGAATTCTGCAGATCCTCTGCAAGATCATTTACTAAGAGCCAGCTTTAAGTGCTTTTCTATGTTCCTGCTCAAGTCTTCAGACAGAGCTGGTTACCAAACCAACACAGAACACCAGCCAAGCATTCACACAAATTACTTTGCTCCTAGAAAACTAAATACCTACAGCCTGCTTGAGACTTGAATTAAACAAGAATGGCAACTCTTTTCTACAGTGTAGATGCAGGGCTTTTACAGAGGTAGGGCAGCAATAATACTGCTTCTACCATAAAAGAATTTTTCTTAACATGTTAAAAAAAAAATTAAAATTATTTCATTACCATCTTTTGCAGGTACAGTTTTTCCCCTGTTAGCAGTCAGAAAGTTGTTTTCAGAAGCACTGTCTCTTTTTGTAATATTTAAGCCTATAAAAAGAATATATACAATTAAATATACACATTCTAACAAGTAACAGTAATTTTACAGAAAGTCACATATAAAAACAATTTTTGCAGATTATGCAGATTTGCAGATTACTGGATGCATGAAAAAATTGATAAAACTCTACAATTCCTTAAACACTTGAAAAATAGGTAAAATGAGGAGTGCAGAATTGTTCTGATGGATAAGCACAGATATAAAATCCCTTAACACATTAAACCAGTCCAAACTATCTTGCCAAACAATAAATAAATGGTTTATAAAATACTGATTTTATACTGAAGTACTTTTATTTCAATGTTTCAAACATTCATATCTATAACATTCACTTTCATAGACTTAAGGTCTACTATTCACCAGCATTAATTTCATCATTTCTGTTTTAAAGATTACACATCAAGGTTTTGAGTGAGATTTGAGATCCAATCTTCATTTAGACTACAAATAATGATGTAAGCATGCCAGTATGATTCTGAAGAGCCTGACTCTCAGAGCAGCAATGTTGTGATATGTGTAGAAACTCATACTCTCACCTAAGTTATAATATGCAAACAGTTATTTTACATTTCTGACAGTTTCCAACCCTAACTCAATGAAGAACAAGCTTATCTATGATTTATCCCCTCCCTGTCATGAAAGAAAAATCACATCTGTTTTATTTAACTACATCTCTCAGCTTAATTCAGCCACAGGAACTGAACTAGTTTGTGAATATAGAGTATTTCCCAAATTTTTATGGCCATTAAGGCATCAGATCAAAAAACTAGTTGTTTGTGACTGATAACACATTTCTTAAATTTATCTTAGTAATCCTTTTCCTAGAAACTTGAAAAAGATATTTTCTCATCAATCTGATGGACTATTCAAACCCAGTAGAACCAAATAAAATTTTAAAACCCCTATACAATATTATATTTTATTTTGCAGCTTATAACCTTAGCTACAAAAAGCATATTAATTTTTCTTGACTCATTAAAAACCAATGTATTCCAGGGAGGAAGTTTAAAGGGAAGAGATGTGACCTGGTGATGCACATGAACACTGCAAACCCAAGTTCTGCCTCTGCAGCTTTGTCCTTGCCCCAGTGCTGCCAGCCACTCAGCCAGGCATGTTTATTGCCATGGAATTCTGTGCTGTGTTCCCTGCACAGCAGCTTCCAGGCACTCCATCCAGTGGATGCAAGCTCTGCTGGGGAGATGATGCTTAACTCACTCTGATTTCTGCCTTAAAGCAAGGTATCAAATGTTTAAATTTCACAAAGACACAACTGCACCTCTGGGACAGAAAAGGTGGGTTATGACTGAACTAGGTCAGTGACAAAGGAAAAGTCCCTCCCATTATAGTTTAATGGGTTACAAACAGTTCACAGCAAAGTGAATCAAACACTGGAAAATATTTAACAGAAGAAGGCAGCTTGGATCTGCTCCTGAGCAATACTCCTAACAAACTGCTTATGCCAAGAAGCTTTTTATGCAAGATGCCCATTTATAAATAGCTTGTATCTTGTGCTAATTGTAAATACAGACACGTACTCCCTCCTCAATCTATGCAGAGAAAAGTTACATAAGTCATCCAAAAAGCTGTCAAAATGCATCTTTTCCTGGCACCAGCCTGATGCATTGCTTCTATACCCTGCATATTTCAGGTGAAGTGTGCAGTGTTTTAGGGTGCTTGGGTAAATTCAATGGAATGTGTGCTATCTTCCATCCCTTAAGCTGTGCTGCCTTAGTGTGAGTCACCTGAACAGGTCTCAAAGGCAGAAGAAATGCCAATGAAATATTCACTGACATGATTACATAGGCAGCTAAACATGGGGGGGGGGGGGCACATTATGCATGGCCAGCACTGCACACAGCAGGGAAGAGCCTGTTCTCCAAACAGCTTGGAACCTGAACAGTCAGAAAACATGGATCACTCACTCCACAGGGAGGGAACTTACACAGAAGGATTAAGTAATTTGAGCAAATTACTAAGAAAGTGAACCAGAGCCAGAGACTGAGCCCATAACTCCAATCAGTAGACTGAGGCCTTATTACAAGGACAACCTCTCTCTTCTAATTTGGCACTGGTTTTACTCAGATAATTTAATTAGCAGATAAAACACAATCAGTTAAATAGTTTCTTTATAGAAAGAAAATAAACCTCTTCAATTTCTAGGCATAAAGGTGTATAGATTACTTACTAGATTTTCATTCCTTGCAAATTCTCCAGGAATATCTTAGTAAATAGAACCTCATTAGGTGAGACACTTAACTGTTATCACAGCCAATTAGAAATTGCTTTAATGGCTCAAGAATGAATGCTGTGGTGAGAGGTTCTCTATAGAGAGCATATAAAGAGTAGAAACTGTCACAGTCCATCAGATCACTGTAATCACAGCTCCACACAACGTCCTTCCAGCACCACTCCATTGGCCAGTGAACTTCCAACCAGGACAACATGGAGTTAATGAATACCTTATCACCTCATCCCAGGCTATGAACTAACTCCAAACTAGAATTTTAAATACCAAGATTTACTAATTCTTGAAGATCAGTATCTCTCCATCCTGTGTCAATATGCAAGAAAACACTCACCAGAATTCACTTTGGAAGTTACGTGTGTCACATCCACTTTCTTGGATTTGACCAAAGGTGAAGAGCGTGTGGAAGAGCTTCGTACGGAGCTTCTCTTGTGATCAGAAGCCTTGCTTATTTTGGAAAGGGGTGCAAAGATACCTGGAGAGAAAATTGTATGTGCCAACAAAGAGCTATGGATAATGGTAAAGTAATGAAAATTTGCAGCTAGTCTCTCTCACATCAATTAATTCAGTGTTTTTTATAGCCACCATCATAACTTGCTATGCTGACAAAGCACTTGCAGGGTAGGAAGGACAAGCTCAAGAGAACAGTGAAATCAAAATCCTTATCAAGCAACTTGAACAGAGTAGTTGGAAACACTGAGACTATCAATTAGAATCTCCTTTTTATCCTAACAGTAATGTTCAGGCTCCACTGCTACAAAACACAACATCTTTGTATGCCCTGTGTGACCACAGCATCTCAATAAAAATACCTCAAGCTCAAAGTTAGAAAACAACTACAAGCGGGAATGTCTGACCAAGGAAGACAAAGCAGGTAAAGAAACATGGCTATTACTGTTACAGTACAAACAAGCCCTTTCAACAAAATCAATGAAAAACCAGGAAATCTCAGAGTTTCAAGGAAAGAACCAGAAATTTTGACTGGTTGGTTGCTTCAGTCATTTTGCAAATAAACAGCTGCAGCCAAAACTTCAGGACCAGCTGAAGAATCAATAAATCAAACACAGCACTATAAAGACAAGCAACAGAATCTGCTACCTGTTTTTATCCTCCCAAACAGCTCATACCTTCCAGAACTCTTTAAATTTGGGGGTTTAAAAATTGAAGAAAAAATAAAACAAAGGCTATACCACGTTTTGGTGCACACTTGAAGTACTGGACTTTTCCAACACTTCCATTGTTCTTCCCTTCTGGTTCATCCAGCTCTACACCAGCCCACTGGCCACTGGCAAATTCTGTTGTGCCACAGAATCTTAAAGTACCAACCTAAGAGAAAAAGCATCAACACAGAATGGGTTAAACAAGTATTGTTAATGAGAAAATACTATTGGTTATGAAAGAGACAGCAAGTCATCTCCAAAATGCAAGACAAGTCACCACAAAAATGCAAACATCACATTCCTACCTTCCAAACATATTCACATTCCTACCTTTCAACACCACTCAATACATTTTCCAAAAGGTCTTATTCCTTCTGTGTGCACTTTGCATTAAATATTATGGACAGATGCCACAACAGACAAGAATTAGACAGTAAGAACCATTGTAAACACAGCTCTAGGTTAGCAAGCCCATGCCCTAAGAGGTTTCACTTGCACTGTTTATCCAAGAATAATTCCAGAATCAGGGCTAGGTATCTTCCTGAACTGAAAGTTCTATAGAAATATTAGACAAATCTGTGTGTGCATAAATACACACAAGCATATATATTTTTAGATATATATATATATAGCAAAGGTTCAAGGGTAAACTTCAGAGCATAATTTTTTCTTTGGAGAAGATTCATAAAGATTCCCTCCTTATGATTAAACAAAATTTTAAAAGCTAGCAAATGTTTTAAACATTTAAAATGTTTTAAACATTTGCTGTTGCTTCAATAAATACTATAAACTCTGAACAGATAAGCATATGAAGAATATCAAGACAGACCAGTCCTGCTGGTAAACCTCATTCTCCATAAATATACATCATAAGTTCACACACTTCAACCAAACAGGGGAGGAATAACTACAAGAGTTGCATTTAACATTGACTTTAATTCATTTTTATATTTGATTTTTAAATTAGATTTAGTAATAAAAAACTTTGATCTTTCAGTTGCTCTGTTTTCCTCATCTCATGCGACTTTAATGTTAGTTCATTTTACACTATGACTCCACTGTTTAATCCAAGCCTCAGAGAGTAAACAGATAGAAACGATTTTTTTTTTAACAACAAAACCTTCCAGGTACTCCTTCCTAACATCTGTAAAGAAATAAACATGACCCAGGGCCTCTTCTTTTATGCTGAAGATCTCTTGAAACTTGACTGTTATAGGCAGGTATGTCACACTAATCTAGACTGAGACCTTTTAGCTACTGACACAGGGATCAAATTCATCCAGGGGAGGTTCAGCCAAGCAGCCCCACAGATTCCTACAATTCCTCCACTTGCTTTCCAGGCACAAAGAGCCAAAGGGCATTTACTGAGCAGAGAGGAGAACAGCCAGCATCTTAAACTGGGGGTGGGAAATGCAAAACTGCAGCTCCAATTCCGGCCAAGGACCTGTGCAAGGAAGGGAGCAGGGGATCTCTCTTACACAAGACACAGCAGGGGCAGTTTTCTCCCAGCTGCTGATCCCCCATTTCACCAGACGTGATCCAAATGGACATTCAGCCTGGCAGAGCAGGAGCTGGTGGAGCTGTGGGCCCCAAATCACGTACACATACCTGCTTACACAGCCTCCCACCCTGCAGGACAACCAGAACGACAGGCACAGCAGGAGTCAGGAGAGGAATCCATTCTCCCTCTGGCATCTACTGTGCTTAGCTTTCAAGCTTCATTAAAGCTGACATATCAGGAGACTGCAGAAGCAGTAAAGACAACAGGAACCTGTAAATAAAGCTCCAAAAATGCTGCTGTTCCAAGTGCCCTCATCCCAGCTTCCATATTCCAGAATGAGAACTGACCCAGGAGAAGGTTAAAAACAGGGCACCATTTTACTCATCCTGTTTTCACTTTTGCTCCACCCTGTAGGAATTTAGGAGTATCGAGGGGGAGGGGAAGGCAAATTGTATTCTATTTGCCATCTGTATGGCAGTTGCCTTCTGATAAGCGGGCAGTCTTCCTTATCTATTCCACAACCACTCCCCCCTCCAGGGAGACATCTGCTGATAAGAGGCTATTGAATGTCACTGCATGACTGATAAGAACTACAGCATCCCATTGGGAGATGTGAGCCCAGAGGGAGGAGCCAAGCATTGCTACCCAGATATAATCTGGAGATTCTGGAACACCAGCACAGCTTCTCCACTGGATTCCCCAGAGGGACAGTTGCCTCTTCCTCTGAATCTTCAGAGGAAGACTACACCCTTTCTACAGGATCCCTGCTCCAAGAGAACCACCCCTGACACTCCAGGAGGGCTGCAGCCACAATTCCAACGGGACTGCTACCAACAGCCTGACCAACAAGGTGTCAGGTCATATTCTGACTCGGTCAGTGTTATTTTGGTTTACTGCACTGTTTATTTTATCCTTTTATTTTCTTCCCTAATAAAGAACTGTTATTCCTGCTCCCATATTTTTACCCAAGAGCCCCTGTACTTAAAATTTATAGCAATTCAGAGGGAGGGGGTTTACATTCTCCATTTCAGGGGAAGCTCCTGCCTTCCTTAGCAGACACCTGTCTTTCCAAACTAAGACACAGAATGAGAACTGATCCAGGAGAAGGTTAAAAACAGGGCACCATTTTACTCATCCTGTTTTCCCTTTTGCTCCATCCTGCAGGAATTTAGGAGTATCGAGGGGGAGGGGAAGGCAGGGCTGAGAAACTCTTCTCCATTCAGGCAAAGGGAGAAAAGGGGTGGGAAGCAATGTGGGAGTAGTGCACAACAGCTCCTCACACAAAGGAAGGAAGGGAGGAAAGCTGCTGTGGAAATGGAAGCTCAGAAAGCACAATCACATTCCTTCTTCCCACCTGCTCTAGAACAGATTTGGCTCCCTTGAAGAAAAACAAGCTAGCTGTACAGCCCTGCTGGCCTTTGGCAGCACAAAAAGAGCTTCCAACAACTTCTTGAAAAACACTGCAACAGCATAATCAATTAGAAGAATAAAAGCAACCAAACCCAGGCAGCTCTGTCCGTGCACAGCGAGCACATTACAGCACAAACTGTTCTGTGGGCCTTACTTACACAAGAGCACCAATTTCATCACTTTCTTGCTCTAAAGCCTCCATTAACTTGCACTTACATTATCTCCTCTTGCTGCCACTGTGATTTCTGATAAAGAAACTTCTGTCTTTAAAGAATAAGTGGCGTTCTGTACATAATCCAGTTAAAATGCCTTCTGCATTGCTAGTGATTCCTTTGCTTTCCCTGACCCAATTTCAAGACTACAGCAAATTAAAATACACAATGGGAGCCGCTTCACACTCTTGCTGGAGATCACTTTAGAATCTTTCAGTTGTGACAGTTACAGATCTGAAGTTATATTAGGAAAGCTATTAATGTGAAAGCTATTCAAATATAAAATTTTGCTCAAAAATGCTTTCAGTATTTACCAGGAAAAAAGTACTTCTCTGAAAGAGTTCTATCACAGCAAATAAAAAGTCTGAATACTGAATGCAATATTAATGCTACAGTTTTAAAATGTTTTAGAAAGGTGGCTATCGTGGTAGCTTCTAAAGAGCTATTCACATTTGAGCTGGACCTCTATTAGCTACATCCTCATACTTCCACAGAACCATGTAACAACCCTGTTGGCACAGCACTGCTTCAAAGATTTTAGCTGCATTGCACCAGTGAAATTGGGTTACTATGGGCTAAGCAGAACTGAAGGGTTTTTTTCCCTGTCTTCTGGAAACTATCAGGAGTACTTCACAAATGCACACCCCTAACAAAGCTGGGCAACTCACAAAGTAATTTGCCAAGTTTACCATCCCTTTGATGTGACACCAAAAATGTTGATAAAAGCTGAGCCATGCTGATGTACTATAGGAGACTGTTAAAAATCTGTTAAAAGACACAAAATGCAGCCTATGCCTGTCAAAACTGTTTTTCATAATAATGACTTTATCACACAACTCTTCAGCTTATTACTTTCCCTAACCAGTTCCTTGCTGCCATCCAGAGATCACAGCTTCCAGAAAGCATTTCAGACCCTCAAATTGAGGTATGTCTCCAAAGTGGTAAAGAAATGGGCTCCCCAAGAATTATGAGAGTAGTGCCAGGCTGGTGGCCATACCTTCTGTCCTGCAATAACAACACGATCTCCCAGCTTCAGGCCAAGTGACAAAAGCATGGCCCTGCCTGTGACATGGTCATAGGTTGGAATCATGGCTTTGGAGATGTCACACGAGAGAGGCACTGCATCCAGCAGGATCTGCTTGATCTCCTTTGCACTGGCTGCTGCATCTGCCATTTCCAGGGGCATATCTACTGGATCAGGAACCACATCTGCTGGAATCTGCCCTTTGTCATTCTGTAGGAACATAACATAGCACAGGACTTAAATGTTGTTACAAGATAAATCTGACCAGGTGAAACCACAGTGTTTCACAAAGAGTTTAATCCTCTTTATTAGATATTTTTCCTAGAATATAAACAACTACGAAAAAATCCACATTTTCAAATAAGGATACCAAAACATCCTTAGATACTAGCATGATCAGCTAGCATGTACAGCATCTCATTTTTGAAACTGACAAGTAACCAACATTTTCAAGTTTAAGAACATTATTAGGACTCAGAACACCTGAAACAAGACACTTGTGTTTATCTGTATACCTAAACACAGAGTTAGGAAAGCAAAGCAGACTTCTGGTCTGTAATGCCAACACCAAAATGTCAACTCCTCCCAAAGAATCCATCTTTACCCAGCATATAGCTTGCTCCTTGGTGAGGCTTATTCCAAATGTAGGAGGGAATTTGATTAATGTATGTTGTATGCATAGAATATGCAAATGTGATGGCTCACACTAGTACCTGAATAAATCTGTGCAGGTTTATCTAGGCACAGACTATCCTATGAGAGATGGATTAAGGACAGAGTCCTTTCCAAACATACCTTGGTCCCAGAGAGCTGTGACTGTGACTCCCTGCATGTCCTGTGTGACAGGACAAGTTGCTGGAGCACCAGCTCCCCTGGAGTTAACCTCACCTCCAGGCAGCTGCCCAGACACAGGTACTGTCAGGCTGCTCCAGGGACAGTCCTACCTACACTCTTTAGCAAAGCCATTGGTGTGGGACTTTGGCTGTCTGCCCATTTTCACAATGTTTGCAGCAAAATAATCATCTCAGTCTTCCAAATTTTTCTCAGCTGAGCCCCTGGACTCAGACATTACCAGCAGGAGTGATGCAGAGTAAGATTGTACTTGTTTTGGTCCCTTCAAAACAGACTAGAAGTTCAATGTTTCCTGAACCCCCTCTCAATCCATCTCAAAGCTAGAAAAGTATAATCCTTACTAAGAATTTACACTGCTGTTCCCAAATAATCCAACTCTACCCACTGTCTCTAGTCAAAGCTTTATTGCAAGTTTGAGCAATTCAACACCCACCATTCCTTAAAAATCTCCAATCACTCTCTAAGTAAAAATCACACTACCTTAAAAACAGGAAATAGCTGGGTTAAAGTTGGGTGGGGAGTTTGAGTTTGTAGTCATGGCATTAGAGATTATTTTGGTCACATCAGCCCCACAGTTTAGCCCACCAGGTGCCCTGCAAACACAAAACGGGGGCAGAGCAGTGGCAAGAAAGCAAGGTGGAAGCTCAGGGGAAACTCAGGATTTCCCTTCTCAAGGGCACAGCCACCCCTGGCAGCTCAGAAAGCTTGTGCAACTACAAAGCAGCATTCCCTGTGACAACAGACTCCCAAACACAACAGCTGCCAGAGAACTTGAGACACATTCATGCACACTAAACAGAGAGACAAAAAGAATCCCACCACTTTCCAAGAGATCTAGATTGAATATAATGAAGAACTGTATGGACAATAATGTTCCAGAAGATTTAATAGCAACAGTGCTACATGAAATAATGACTTTTGAGTACCCTTAAAACAACTATGATTTCTCATTTAAAATAACCCCCTGCATTTGAAAATGGAGAACTGAGATACTGGTTTTGTTAAAACAAGAAAACCTTCTAAGCCCTTCCCCCAAAAACACAAACAACAAAAAAACCCCAAACACCCAAATCAAACACAGAACTCAATCAAAATCCAAGACTGTGGCAGTAACCCAATATTAGACACATATTAGCAACACTCTGCAGTATAACCTATGCCTACTATTAGGTTACTAAGGAGAGCAGGTGATGTTTATGCATTCTCAGTTACTCATGCTAACACCAGGCTCACTGCTAAGCACAGCAATGCATTTCTGGAGGGCAAGGATTGCTCTCCTCCATTTCTGAAAAGATCCCCCACTGCCATGGGGACTCAGCTGTGCAAGACATCCATGAGTATTAATAAATGAAAGCTCAAACAACAAACAGAAAAACCTCTTGAAAGTTATTTGAACTAATGAACCAGACCATGACACAAAAATGCAAACTTCAACACACAAATAGGACAAAGCATACAAAATCATCCACCATGAGTAGCAAATATCTTTTTCTGAGGCACTCTCACTCCATGTAGCACACTTTTAGCTAGTCAGAACCCTGAACAGACTGTTCAGTATTTCCAGGTACCTTTTTCACCTTCTGGTGTATCTACAACCTAACTCCTTACCCTAAAGGCAGGATTTGCTCCATGTTCCAGTAAACACTTGACAGCTCCTGTGCATAGGTTAAATGCAGCAATATGCAAAGCTGTTCCAAAATCAAAATCACTACAGGTGGCATCCACATCTGCAATTAAACATCACATGTGAGGTATGCAAGTCTGTTACATGAACATTTCCCCCTACAGATTCCTTGAGAGGACATTCATTTTTACAGTTTATGCTAGCATTTACACAGACACACCATTATTTATGTACCAAATGCATATAGGAAGTAATTCTACATGGATATCAACCTTATTTGCATCTGTTTATTCACACCACGAACCAACCTGGAAGATGAGCATGTACTTTCACTCATTTTTAATACTGATGGCTTAACTGCAAAATTGCTGCTACTCAGGGTGCCCAATCTACTGTGCCAAGATTAACAAGTGACTAACTTCAGGTTTGCAAGTAAATTAATTTTTTAATGTTTCAGACACATTTATATTTTAATGCTTCTATGTGTCAAACATGAAAATGAGATGCATCTTCAACCAGTTGTTTTCCTTTGTGAGCAGGCAGTAGGGCAAGGGAAAACTGATTATACATCTGCTTTACACTGATTTAATTACTAATGGCCAAGAATGAAGTAAGAGCTGGTGATTGTTATAATTTCTTTGTTTTCAAAGAATTGCACTCTGAAGGGTCTCACACTGATAGTCTGGAAAATGGAGAACTGCATCTGACTGGAAGTGATTTAGCACAATATATATTTCCATCAGTTGCTCCCAATATATCTTTCAATCTGCTATGAAGTTATTACTGTTCTAGAAGATTGGAGTTTAAATGTCTGTTTAATCTGAGGCTCCTCTCTTAAATTACACAAGAGAGATGTCATTTTGAGTCAGTTAGGTATAGCACTGTTAATTAAAAATTCCAGTTGATTTAATATACAAGCACAACACCACAAGTATTAGCAATCTTGTTCCAATTTGAAATACCAGTGAGGAACATAAAACTTTCCACCTCAGGGCTGAAGAGTCTCCTCATATTTTCCAGTATTAGTCTCCATCCCAAAAAACAAACACTAGCCCTTCTCACAATGCTATAAACAAAGTATATCCCAACTGTATCAACATCCTTATATAGTTACACTAAATAAAAATAAAACATCAACAATATAGAAAATACAGTTATATATATCTGTATAGACATGTTAAGTTCATACATACTAATAAAACTGACTGAATTTTATAAAAATCAAAGGTAACAAATTTGCAATCAGAATTTAACAGTTTTGCAATTGCTGTGATTGAACACAAACATGAAAAAAGGCTGCATTCACATGCCTCAATCCTAATGAGAGCTAGTCATGCAGATGCACCAAAGGTCAGAAGACATCACCAGTTCAAAACCAGCTAAAAGCTGAGGAGCTTTATACAGCCATTGAAACTTTCATGGGATACAGCCAAACATTTTCTGCACACACAGGAACCAATTTGCAGAAATACTGGTCAGTAGCACCAGCTACTGAGCCAGCAACAGCTGCATGTATTCCTATTTTGAAAAACAACTGATGTATGGTTTGGTTTTTTGAGTTAGACTCTGTGACGTCCTCAGACTTGCAAGCTTCATGCTTGGATTTTCTGAACAGTTCTCTTACAGCTTCAATCCAAGTGGGCATAGTAGAGGTGACAGAAAGACAAATATCAAATGTTACCTGGTAATTACCCCCAAACTATCTAGAGGAAAATAATATACAATTTTTGTATTTAAAACCTCTAAAGACCCAAGACCAAACTAGCTCTCTCCTGTAGCAACTGAGGAGTAAATCTGTATGAAGACTTTAACTACAGAGTCATAAAGAAAGCAGTTGAGCAGTGAATCAAAAGGAGACATCTGTGCTTCACAATGGGTGTCTCAGAGTCAGCACACCACTGTCCTGAAAAGTTATTTTTATATTAACAACCATTTTTTCTCCAGTTTAGTATGGATGCATACAAAGCACGTTCACCTTCTATGTATGTTCTTCCTTCTCTGCAAACTGGCTGATGAAGTATGGAGCTAAAATTGTTCTATTAATTCAGACTATCCATTGTTTTCATGTCACAGGGCAAACAATTTTACATATTTCCTGAGATTAAAAATATCAGCTGCTTATCCAAGAATTGCCAACTGCCCAGTAACCAGAGTGGTTTCCTTGGAAATCTGAGCAGAGTCCCACCCCTTCTGTGGGAACTGCACAGGAGGAGAACACCAAATGCCAACAAGGTCTGAAAGGAGACTGCTGATGCAAATTATGGAAGCCAGGCTATTGAAATGTGATGTGGACTTAACTACTGTGCAGTCTGATTTTGTCTTTTGTTATCCACCCACACGTGTCACCTCCTAGGCAAGTGACACCAGCAACAGCACTGCTTAGCAATTACCTCCATGGAGATTCAAGATGTGGTAAGCAAGCCCTGGGTACTCCAAAAGCCTACCAGCTTTTCAAACTGCTAAGACAGAGTCCCTAGATAATAAATCCTTTTGCAAACTAGCACAATCAGAAGGATATTCAGTAAAACAAACTCACATTCGTACAATTTTAGTGACAAATTCACAATTGTACAATTTTAGTGATAAAGCTGCTTACTGGTTTTGCTGTCCTGACAAAATTAGAAACAAACAGTTCTGATCAGAACCATTTCTGTATTTCCATGTGCATTACTATAAACAGGGCTCCAACTACCAATCCTTCACAGTATCATTCCAAAAGGTGTTATCTATTTATGCCAAACACTAAGGTCAAATTGCTCCTTAAACAGGACTTTCTACATAGCTGAGAAATGGGAAAATGAGCACATCAAAATTGCCTCAGTCACAGGTTTGCCACATGAAATTGCCAAATCCCCACTACTCCTTTAACCTTCTCCCCAAATTTCAAACATGCTTCTCAATGTTAAAGCAACTTAAAACCACAAGATTTTACCAGAATAGCTGTATTTTTGGTTTTCTGCAAAAATTCTCTTAGTTCTCAGTAACTTAACATTAACCTGTTTGCTTTCCAGTCTATTTGAAACTTCTATTGTGTTGTACAAAGGTCAACTTTAAAAACCAGCAATGGAAACAGTACAGTAAAGCACTAAAAAATAACTTTGGAGAAAAATGAACCAATGAGGCTGAATAAAAGAATAAGAAATTATTTATGGATAATGGATAAATAAACACCAGACTTAACAGACCACAATATATCAGCTCAGGATGTACAAAATATGGACAACCACATGAAACAAAGGTCACAATGCCTACCTTTTGGCTTTGCATTTTTCAAAATAACACTGATGAGTTCTGGAACATCAAAGTAGGCAGCATAGTGCAAGGCATTCATGTTTGTCCAGCGGCTGCGCAAGCTGCTGTCAGCACCCAAATCAATCAGCTGGGTTGCAAATTTTACAGCAGTTTCAACATCACCTGCAGGGTCATTTTTGTAAAGAATGCATTAGTGATTTATTTATTTGACCTCAAAAAACACACACATGTTTATGTGTAAAACAAAACATACATTAAGCCCTTCACACTCACAGAACTATTACTATGCCTTTTTTTTATGATTAGGATACAGAAATCATTGCCCTTTATGATAAAGGGCTGAAATCTCTAGTGTATAATAACACTATCTGTTTTTCTCTAATGTAAGTACTGCGTCACCCAGCAAACCCAGGAATTTTAGGATCTGGTAGAAGAGAAAGAATTGCACATCGCAATTTGATGTTGAAGTTTATGTTAAAAGATGTGCCAACACCAGGGAAGACAACCTATGCCAGACTTCTCTCAAACTCAGAGGAGAAGTGGGCTCAGGTCAACAATAACATAAAAAAGTTAATAGGGTTGTTCAAATAGAGTTAAATGTGCTCTCATTTCCAGTATTTATGACCATAATCATGCAAACAATAAACTTTGTTCTCTTCTGACATGAACAGGGTGAAAGAAACAAAACAAAAAGAACAGCCAGTCACCTAAATATTCTGCTGTAAAAGAACTGCAGCAAAAATTATAGCAAACTTGCAGCTTGCACCTCAGTCTGATACTGCCTTTGCCACATGAAGTATCTGTTTAAGCTGGTACTACTGTGTGTAATACCCATACCACTAACTCAGCTTGCTCCCCATGGCTACAGCTGCAGTTCTGCACCTTCCTTGCTCATGGCCACCAGAACAGAGAAAACCAAGCAAAAGGAAAAAAAAATATCTGCTGCAAGGAAAAATCCTGTAAGTGTCAGTGGGATAAGCTTTTGTGAGTCAATTAGTTTTTACATTTATAATGACTTTTTTTTTACTCACCAATGCCATGAGCCCCTGATTTGCAAGTGTAATGCAGGAGAGTCATATCAGTCAGTCCATCTCTGTCATTCACATTGCAACCCCTTTTAATGATCTGACAGGCAAGCGGAAAACAAGCACATTTTAGCTCTGCCATATCTCTGACATCACTACTATTTCCTAAGTTATTGCAGATATACTGACTCCTGGATTCATTCCTGGCTAGGAACAAAGAAGCCTGCCAGAAAAGCCTCTTAACTGCAGAACTGAGCAACATATACAAATGTAATAAATGGCATTATAATTAACCTTCATTATTTACAGATTAAAAAAATCTTTATATTGCTCCTTCTAAAATATACTTCACATGCTAAGAAGTTAAGCAATTAACTGCATGAGAAAATGATTTATGAACCTCTCCCCTTGTTCTCTGATCTCTCAACAATTACCCAGCCCACTCCCACACAACCCCAACAAAAAGAAGCTCCCAGTTATAATATGGTAGGGTTCATTGGCACTACACTTCCCCAGAAAAACCTGTAATGCCGAAGAAAAATAAGAAAGTGGGATAGAAATACTAGAAACACATTTTGTGCCTTGGAAATATTGCCCTTAAGGTCAGGCTTTAACAGTAACTTCATATATTTTTGGGGTTTGAGTTTGGTATTACTGCTAAGCAGGAAACTGAAACACCAAGGTGAAGGGTCTCAACACAACTGCCTTGAGAGAAACATTGTTTATACCACCTATGCAAATTGACTGAATTTTATCCATCATCTTTTTTTTTCCAAATAAAACCTGACAACATGTGGAATACAAGGCATGATCAGTCACTACTTGTTAAAAGGCAGAAACTGCATTTATGATTAATTCTGCTTCTGAATGAACTGGTTTTATTCACTGTCAACAGTGTTTAACATTGAGAGCACTCAAGGATCTTCATTTGCATCTCACCTCATTCCCAATAATATCAATATTCTGCTGGACCTGTGGAACCCACTGCCTTAAGATGGCAAACAATTCAGAAACTGATGTTTTGGGGTCGAAGAGTATTTCTTGGCATGCTGCATCATTGGGATCGAAGAAGGAAAACTCTGTTAAAAAAGAAGAGTCTTTATATAAAAAGATCTTGATGTTTAACGTGCATCTAGTTTTTCAAACTCAGAGGCAAAGAACAGTAGAGAGAAAACATCTTCCTTCTTTTTCTTCCATCACAATCTACATGGAACATACTAAAATATAAACACACAGCCTAATCACAAAAGCACTCTGTGACCTCTGCTATTTTCAGTATTTCATTAATGCATCAATCCCAGCTGCAGGAAACAAACACCTTCAAAAATTAAGACACCAAATCAAGACCAGGGAAAAAAAAAAAAAACACTACTTTTAAAGATTTTAAGCCTCATGTTCTTTCGGGCAATCCAAACTCTAAGTGCATCAAACACCTTATTACAAAACTATACGTCACATTATTCATAGGGGGGTGTGTGTGTGTGTGTGCTTCTATATACACATCCTCTATTTTTCATCTGTGCAATTTCTTCCAGCTCTGGAAAATTCTGTGAAAGAATCTGGATAGCAATGGCTATGAGGAGAGGGACTGAAAGCAGAGCCTACTACCATCAGCAAATGAACCATGGCAAACACTGAACTTTTACCCCCCCTGCAGCCATCAGGGAGTTGCCTTTTAAACAGGTTTTGGATAAATGTACAATCAGTTCACATCCATCAGAGATTCATGGCTCTCAGACAGGACAGACAGGTTAAGCAACACACACCATCACCCATCTGGGTGTGTGACATGGCATGAACCACTCCTGGGTGAATCATCCCAACCTTTCCCCAAAAACAGCATACCTGACTTCTAGATTGGATTAACAGATAACAGCACGTACTGAGTTCTCTTCCTGGCTATTTAGAGTTCCTCAAACTCCATCACCTTGACTCAACAAGAATGGAAAAGGAGGACAACTTTCACTGATATTTACCATTAATTTTTACTTGCACCTAGCAAATAAAAAAAACCCAAGCCATTTATCTCCCAGCACTACACAAAGTGCGCTCCTTCCCTACATCCAATGCATCAACACACATCTACTGATTTATCCACTAATATTTACCTTCACACATAAACCACAGCTGATCTACAGCTGAAACTATGAAGTAAACAGACAACTAGGCAACAAGATTAATGATCCTGCACAATATTCATAGTTCTTACTCTACCAGGAAGATTTCTAGCCACAAACCTGATCCAAATTATCTATCAGAAATCAACTCTTACAATCAGCATGGTAGGGTGAAAACCTGAGACTGTATCAAAGATTAATAACAACCACCCTAAGTGCTTAACAGGTGATCAGCCGTAGTCTTTGCAAGCAAAGCAATGCTACAGAGAATCTGTTAAAGCAATGAATCCCATCAAAGGATGCCAATGGCACCTATATACCTCAAAATATTACTTTCTCACTCTCTATCTTTCCCAAGTATTGATCACAGTGCCCAGCAGCATTAAGGAAAATAAATGCACTGAATGTAAAGACTGAGACTCTCTCTCTGCCATGGTTTAACCTCCTTCACCCAGATTCAGCAATCTTACTGTTACACAGTGACAGTAATCTCCTATAAAAGGATTTTATTATAATTTAATGAGTACATAGAAGCCAGGTAGAACACATAGCAGTGAAATCACAGGGTTATTAGAAGATACCACAACAAAACAATGTTTAAAGAAGGCAAATGGAAACTTTATCTAAGGGATAAGAAAGTAGAATGGAATAAATCATGGCAGTACTTAGAGCAGATGAGGAAGACAAGATGAGAACAGGGCAAAACCATGTAAAGACACATTCATGTGCTGAAACATTTCATATGGAACACTTGCATTCCCAACCTGAGCTAACTTATAAATCAGATCTTGAGAATGCTGACCCTGTCAAAGACAGAATGTTACAGGTATTTATTCTTCCTGAATACAGCTGATTGCTCCAATCAATGCATGGGAAACACTGAGGTGGAAGGAGTGATTTTTGAAGTATATAGATGCTATTAATATCTTCTGCAACATTCAAAGGCATTATGATTGCAGCTATCAGTGAAGCTCCTTACCTACAGTGACATTTTAACACCTTATATACTGTCAGAAATTTTATTATCATTTATACATGTGAAGACAGTTACTGAAGACAAATATTGTTCTGACAGCTGACCACTGATATAATTTTCTGATATAATATAATCACTGGTATAATTTTCTACCACTCACTTTACAGTCCTTACCACCACAAAAACACACACTTCCAACAGAAACATCCTCTTCCAGTACATCATTTACACACTAAAGCACAAGAAAAAGTAACTCTAGAGGTTTTAAATGTGGTGTAGATTAACTTCCCTTACTTACTCCAATTTTACATTTTCACACAATATCCAACTCTACACTGAGATGTGAAAGAAGTACAAACCTGATCACACTTGCACAGAACTGTACAAAGGAAAAGATATAATTTAGAGTGTATGCAATAAGAAAAATGGAAAAAGCATGAGTCTTCATCTTTCATTTCATTTAACAGATAATCCATTTAATAAGAAGAAAACTTTTTCTGGACAGAAATAATTAAGAGTTGACAGCTTTTCTTAAAATTTATTACTCAAATTTATTCTCTGCTGATCACAAATGCATTTTCTGTTTAAAGTACATACCACAGTCTGAAGGCATTGGTGCTGCAGCAACAGAAAAGGTAATAGATGTTTCAGAGTTTGGGAATAAGAATCGTTCTCTTTCAATGAGGGAATCTCCTTCAAAGGAAGGTTCTGGGAGATCCTCTATGGTCATCTTCTAGAAAGCCACTTCAGGAGGAAAAATAAAAATCAATAAATAACTTCACTGGAAATACTTTAGATTGGCTCTATCATAGTAAGATGTAACATGCAATGAGACTAAAATCTTAAATTTGCAAACTATTACTGCCATGACATTCTTACAAACTGATGTATGAACAAGGCTCACAGAGTATGTTGTCCAGGTTAGCCAACTTCTAGTTTTGACTTCCACCACTAAACTTGCACTTAACTAATGGAAAACATCATATTTCTCCCCAGTTTCCCACTTGAGCAGCAAAGAAAATATTAATGCTCTATTAGCCAACACACACTGAGGATAAATGGATTAGTGTGTTTCACAGCTTTATGAAAATCTGAAGCATCAAGTACCTGCCCTCACACTGTGCATGCACATTCCCTCCCTTCACCATGAGCAAGAACAAGCTGCCAGCTACTGCTGCCTCCTCTTTTTAAATTCTCAGCTCTTTCATCTTCCCACACACAGCTGCAGACAATTCATCACCGAGTGATTCACTCCTGGACTCACGGTTCCGTATCAGCTCCTCTCCAGCTCTGCTCCTGCCTGGTTTAAAACAGCACACTTACCACAGCCTTGGAACCTTCCCCTCTGCTGCTGCTTCCAGTCACCTTCCCAGGCCTTCCAGCAATCTAGGAGAGAGAATCAAGACTAAAACATTGTAGTGACATAGTGACAAAATCTAACAACCAGCCCAAGTTACATCCTAGTTGTGGTGCCCAGGATGAGATCAGAGGAAAGCTGGCTACCACTTGTAAGACAGTTTATCAGGCAAATTCATTAACAAATAACAAAAATATCATTATTCTTAATAGAAACAGAGATGATTGCATCATCAGAGGCTACATCTCACAGCTGAAGAATTTAATTTCTGCATCTTGAATGATTATTATTAAACACTTGGGGTAAAAGCAACATTTCTACTAAACAACCTACATTTTTACTGTGGAGATTGCTGTACAGTGCTCTTTTCTCAGGAATTTGTTCAGCCAGCCTGCTGGACAGAAAGAAGCTGTGGAGCTTGAAGGAATGATTGTTTTTATTACATTTCATTTATACCCACGTAAATACAAAAAACTAAACTATTTATTTTGGTATTTGAATGTAACACACAACAAGCTATATGAGCAAATTCAGTCTGGTATTTCCCTAAATAAATGGGTCACACTGCTTGGGACCTCACAATCTATATGCTTATATAAAAAGCATTTTAGTATTAGCAGATGCTAATCTTGAAGTAAATAAATTAAAGACTCCTCTTCTTGCTCATCACACACAGTTCACCTTGTGTTCAAGTTGGAAATAAAGCTCCACATGAAAAATGCTCATTCTCCTCCCAACTAGTTTATTTCCCTAGTCTTATACAGCTGCACAAATTCATGTTCTGGCATGAAGATCAAGGAGGAGGCCACTGGAAGGACAGGACTATTTTTTCCCACAGCATTATCAAATTGCATTGGCTTACGTGTTCTTTTATTCAACAAGGCCAAAAATATCTCTAATTATTTCAATTAGCATTTTCTTACAGTCAGGAAAAGTTAAGAGTTTACATTTCAATGGCTTAATAGCCATCATAAAGATGACAGCTTTCTTGTGTGAAGGACTATAAAGTCCTTTAAGCTGCAAATATCTAATTAAATTGCTTTTGAAGGGCAACAGTGAAATAAATCTGCTACAATCTGATATTTCTTCAGAGGCTGTGGCAAAACAAAACAAAGCTTTGTAAGACACATGAATCCCCAAGTTTCTCACAGGCAGCACCCCAGAGCTCTCACGAAATGCACAAAGGAACAAGCAATATGCATGAGTATAAAAGACATATTAGCTGAGCCTCTTAAGCTGGAAAAAGACACAAAAGAAATTAAAAGCTTTTTTGCACAGCCCTACAACTGAGGGAACAAAAGGAGCACAGTGAAAAGTAGCCAGACCTGACTGAGCAGATGGTAACAGGAAAAGATGAGATTTTGTGAAGTAGGACAACACAAGTTGTTGGAACTTGAAACCAACAGAGACATTTCAAAATGAACGTAAGAAAGAGTGTTTGTGGCACAGGAAAGTAGATCAAACAGAACACAACCCGTGCAAGCAGCCAGGGCATCTTTTATTCTGCAGGGCCAGGGACAAGAACACCCTCTGTGTGCTGCCAAAGCAAAGCAGGCAGGGAAACAACCCATGCTGCCAGGGAGGAGCACCAATCCCAAGGGCTACAGTGCAGATGCTGACCCAACTCCATAAGGAATGAATTTACATGCCAGCACCTCCAGGGGAAGTGTGCACACCGTCATGGAAGTGTGCACACCCTCATGGAAGTGTGCACACCCTCACACTGCAGGGTTTTCATCTGGCTCTAGAATGCGGCACGTGTCACCACCCAGCACTGACACGCCATGTCAAGGTGACACCTTGTGCACCCACAGCCACCTGCAGGGGCTGCCAGCTCAGCTGTGAGAGCTTCCCAGCCAGCTGACACCACACACACAGCTGGACAGGCAAAGGAAAAGGCTGAAAGCTATTTCAAAGGCACTGAAAAGGCATCCCCACGCCATCCTCACAACGAGCTCTGTTGTGAGCAAAACCGAAACAAGACCCAAAACGTACTTCCCACCAAGATTCAGCTGGAAAGTCCTGGTGCAGTGGAATGGGAGGCCTTCCAAAAGAGCAGTGACTTTCCTGTATTAGTAAAAGAGTTTAGAGCAGAAACTATTAGAGAAATTACATAAAAGAGAGAATTTTTCTATTCAGAGCATTGCCAAAATACCACTGAGCACAGCTTAGCACAGCAGAGTATCATACTTACTATTTGCCAGCCATACGCTCTTCCTACTGAATTATACCTGGAATTGGAAAAACAGAAATATCAGGGGAAAATCTTCAAAGAGTGATCAGATGCACACACCCTTTTGTGCATCTGAACAGCAACAACAGGTTTCTTGATATCCTCACATTACACAGGAATGAATGGTAGCTCTGCATATACACATAAAAAAGTGCCATAATAGAGGATCCAACTTTTTCATGTACTCTAGTTTGTAATTCGTGTTAAAGCACAAAACTTTCCTGCAAGTGCTGTAAGAACTTGCAAATGCTAAAGCACTTCAAGCTATTACATACAGCTGTTCTGGGCTTTGATAGCTGAACCTGTCACAAATGTGATGCTATTTTTGACAACAAGCATGTAAAATGGACTCCTTATCATGCACTTAGATGTGCTCAGGAAAAATTAGGTTCAGAGAGCAGGTTTCTTGCACATACAGCAGCTGCCCATTTCAGAACATTTACAGCACAGGTGGCAGCCATGCTATATACCTGTGGGTAAACCCAAGGTCTGGGTGGTGTGCAGGGCAGTGTTTTCACAGATTCACTGAGTTGTCAGGGTTGGAAGGGATCTCAGGAAATCCTCCATTCCAACCCTCTGCCAGGGCAGGGCCACCTGGAGCAGGTGACACAGGAGCGTGTCCAGGTGGGCTCTGGATGTCTGCAGGGAGGGAGACTCCACAGCCCCCCTGGGCAGCTGTGCCAGGGCTCTGCCACCCTCAGTGTAAAGAGATTCCTCCCCACGCTAAGGTGGAACTTCTTGTGTTTCAGTTTACAGACTCTGCTCCTCATCCTCTGGGCACCACTGAACAGAGCCTGGCACCATCCCTTTAGCACTGCCTTCGAGATATTTATATGTACAGAGATCCCGTCTGTTCCCTGCCCGCACGCACGGGCCCAGCTCCCGCAGCGTCTCCTCACAGGAGAGATGCTCCGCACCCTGTGACCTGCCCCGGACCGGCGCTTTGTGAGGCCGGCAGTGCCGGAGAGCTCAGCTCCCGCACCCTCCAGGCCGGCTCTGCCCGCCCACAGCCCCCGGGCCACCTCCCCAGCACTCCCCGCTCTCCCAGAGCGCATCCCCGGAGCCGGGGGTCCCCGCGGGGACAGGCAGTGACACCGCCCGGGCCGCGCCCGCCCCCGGCCCCTGCGCCGCAGCCCAACGAGGGGAGCCAGGCCGGCCGCGGCCCGCCCGCTGCGGCGGTCCCTGCGCCGCCACCCCGCCCCCACGACGCGCCGAGCGAGGATGGGAAGCGCCGGGAGGGCGCTCGGAAGGCACCGGGACAGCACCGGGAGAACACCGGGAAATCACCGGGAAGCGCCAGCCTCGCCCCAGCCCTACCTGCTCCCGGCCGAGCGCACCGCGCCGCCCGGGCCCGCCCGCAGCCCAGGGAGCCCAGCGAGCCACCGGCCCCGCCCACCGCAGGCAAACCACGCCCCTTCCTACCCCTCTGGCCAATGGGAGGCCAGAGCGCCCCGCCCGTCCTCGCAGACCACGCCCCCTCGCGGCGACCGGGCGGGCGCGGGAACGCGCGGCGGGCGCGGGAACGCGCGGCGGGCGCGGGAACGCGCGGCGGGCGCGGGAACGCGCGGCGGGCGCGGGAACGCGCGGCGGGCGCGGGAACGCGCGGCGGGCGCGGGAACGCGCGGCGGGCGCGGGAACGCGCGGCGGGCGGGATGCGGGGATGGGGCCGCCCGCAGGAACCGGGCTGGCACCCACGCGGCACCACTGGCACGTTTCAGCACTCGGCCCAGAGGTCGAGACTCCCCGGCTGTCTCAGTAGTGGAGGATCCCCCAAGGAGGATTTTCAAAGGCTGCTCGTCCCGTGGTGTAAAATCTAATGAGGAACTAAATGCAAAAGTTGGCACTCTTCGGGAAACTCCTACGGTGGTAAACCCAGCATCGTACTTGAGCCCAGGCTGCATGAAGGGAATTTGAAGTGGATAAAACCTCAGCCAAGTCCTGCTATGTTTTTGTGCTCTGCGTGGGTCACTGTTAAATAAACATAACTGATGTGTACAATCAGGTTTTTGGTGTCGTTTTTCCAGTGATGACATTAAAAGGGGTAGGGGCAGGACAAATAATAGGAGTGGCAAGTGGAAATTTCCTCGAGTGAAGTGCTGGAAAGGTGAAGAGCTGCTCCCAGAGCATTGAATTGCAGTTGTGAGAGTAAACGTGGTGACAGATGGCTATGAAAAATCTAGGAAATTCTTCCACTTCTGGAATGTTCCATACCTTGGAAAAGGCAAAGAAAACATGTCCAGGAAAATGCAGGCCTGCTACTTTCACCTCAAGGCTTCTGGGGTTTCAACTCTTTATAAAGACAAGCATGTAAGCAAGATCAGATGTGAGTGTTGAACTGGCAGTCGACGTTTGCCTTTTTTGAGATGCTTGGTGCTCTGGGCAGAGGAAATGTTTTATTGCTGATAGTGAATAACAGACTTCGACTTCGGTGAAGAGCCTGCAATGGAAATTATTAATTCTGGAGAAGACTGGAATTTAGGAGAACTTCAATGAAGCACAAGCATGGGGGGGAAACAGTGTGAAGTAGTGTTAAATGCAAAGTAGTGTTAAATGAGGGAGGCTACTGATGACATCCTGGGGTGTTATCCTTGGAAATAATCTGTCTTTCATGTTTTCCTCTAATGTCTTTTTGGGAAAAAAAGAAAAAAGAGCCAACTGATGAGATTTTTTAAAAAAGCAAAAAGGAAATAATTGCTGTTAGAAAGGAACGAACTGATACAAGATTGGGATATGGGATCATTGCATGGAAGTAACTGAGGAACCAAAGAATGCAAGGCAGCCACACAAGGGGCACCATTACCAATATGAAGCAGTGGCCCAAAAATCAAACACTCATCTCGGGATGTGCAACTGCAGAGTTGTGGCAGGGCAGTGAAGTGTCCGTGATGTGATGTCCAGCAGGTCTGGCCATCTCCTTGAGGCGTCACATAATGCTGTGAGCACCCTTCTTCAGCGAGCAGCAGCTAATCCATCCTGCCTGGAGAAGGTTTGTGAGCACAGCCAAGGAAAAGAACAGTCTGTGTGAGGAGTCTGTTACCAGAGCACAGCTTGTTTGATGAAAGCTGAGACACAGGATGAAGTTGCCATCTGCCACAAACCACGGAAAATGGGGTGTGAATTCAAAGGTGGTGTTGAATATGAGGACAAAACTGTGTGTGATTATTTTTCATGCTAGAAAATGAAAGCAAGTGTGAAAAACGCCAATCGCTTGTTTTTGAAATTTTAAAAGTTTAGTAGTAATAAAATGCTTATAAAAATAGCAATATAATTAAGAGTAATAAATATTTTGTCCTAACTGAGATTAGGACAATATGAGACAATAGAAACAAAGAGTTATGGACAGTCTGGGTACCGTTTCTGGGCAAAATAAGCCCAAAAAAGGGCACACGTTAACAGAGGATTAACCCTTAAAAGCAATAACCTGTTGCATATTCATACACCTCATCCATGATGCATAAATTCCATTCAAAGGATTGTGTGGTCAGTATCAACTCCTTCCTCTTAATCCTGAGGCATCTTAAGGGCAGAGTGAGGCAGGAAGAAGTTTGTTTTTTCTGGTGAGCAATAAATTCTTTTTCTCTGAAAGATTTAGGTGTCCTGTGGCTGCTATCTGGTGCAAGTACCTCATTCCTTTCTTAAAAAATATCCCACATATATAGTTTCTATTTTAACATTATGTTATAACCTAAAACTATATTTAACACACTACTTTAAAAAATTAATACAGCTTAACTTTCTAACATAACACATACAATATTCATTTTAATATTTGTGAAAAGCCCATCATATAATAGACATTTTTCACAGCAAGGACCTCACAAAATGTTGCAGGTTCTAGAGGATCCTTCTGATCAGGCCAGCAATGGCAGAACCCCAAACATCTCAGCTCAAAGTGAGTCCTGAGTGCTGCAGCTGCAGAGGAGGCTGGGTGGCATTGCCTGACAACACCCCTGCCTGTCTGCACTTCCACCTTTGGGCCCTGCAATGGAAAGTTTAAAATAATACATATTTAAACCACTTTCTGTGCCTTAGCACGTTGTCTTTTTCAGCCACTCCTCCAAGCCAGGATGTGAATGCAAATAAAAAGCCTGTTCAGCCTATCCTGTCTGACTCATTTGGGGCAGCCATGGGCAGCAAGGGTGCTGAACACCTGGGCAGCTCAAAACAATGGGCAGCACCAGCTCTGACCACCTCGGGAGGAAGACAGGGAAGGAAACAATGCTTGTGAGCAGCAAGCCTGTTTCAAATGGAACATTATTTCATTTCTTGTCTCTTCTTGGGGCAGAAATAGAGCATTGCTCAGCAGTTTGTGGTATTTTTGGGATCCCCCATCATCGGGAGGAAATTATGAATCTGACTCCATGTTCTCAGAAGAGTAATTTATTATTTTATTATATGATATAGTATATCAATTATATTATATTATATTATATTATTTATTAATATTGTATTGTATTAATTATAATATATTATGTCATATTATATTATATTATATTATATTATATTATGCTATACTAAAGAATAGAGAAAGGGTACAGAAAGAAGGCTAAAAGATTATAATGATAAACTCCTGACTCTCTCCTCAGAGTCCGACACAGCTTGGCCATCATTGGCCAATAAGTAAACAATCTCCAATCACATTCCAAAGCAGCAAAACACAGGGGAAGCAAATGAGGTAATTATTGTTTCCCTTTTTCTCTGAGGCTTCTCAGCTTCCCAGGAGAAGAATCCTGGGCAAAGGGATTTTTCAGAAAGCGTGACAGTGACACCAGTTCATCTGCACAGATTGATGTATCAGAGGGAAGCAATCATTAGAATGGCTCAGGAAGGCACTGCAGCCTCAGTAGAGCCACTCTGCAGCAATGCTTAGGGCAGCAGGGAGGTTCTGACAGGGAGTGCGCACACACACTGTGGTTAGAGACACTCTCTGAGAGAAAGCCAGGGGGAATCCTGTGCTTACCTCAGTTTTCAGGGAAAACCTGAGATGCTCTAGGTAAGGAAATCTACTGGGAGCTGGATGAGGCTGAATAGCTGCACTCTTTTATGTAGCATCTTGGGATATTTTTCAGGAACACAAATTCCACGACCTCACTTCTAAATCCAAGATCAATACTACCAGCTTCCATTAGGAAGTGCTGCAGCCTTGCCAGCAGTTAAATTGCCAGTCCCTCACCTGAAATGAACTCGCTCACCTTGGAATTGCTCCACAACAAACCTGCTTTCACTCATGAGAACTAATGTAAAAGCTGCCAAGGCCGGTGGAACCCTCTCCTTTTAATTTTCTAGATTTGCATAACTCTGGGAATCTATGCTTAAAGCCTCGTGCTGTTTCACAGAGTTCTTTGTCCTAACTCTCATCTTTTGGCTGTCACTGTCTCACCCACTGAAACCAGCAGTGAACGCATTGGCTGGGACAGAGAGCAAGGACCTAAAATATTGATGGAATGCCTAGCAAAGAGAAATTCTGAATAACTCACAACACTTTCCAAAAAATAACAGACTAATGTAAATATATCTCACAAAACTACTGCTGACCCTAGTCATACAATTCTTCTCAACCCCTTTGGGTCACCTGTGATTTACCTCACAGATCACTGTAGGGGACAAGAACTTCTACATCCTCTAATAAGAAGCTACTCTAAGTTTTGTGACAAACTTCACAAGAAAATTTCAGAAACTTACTTATTTTTCATCCTTCCCGTGTTCTGTAGCATGCTCAACCAAGTCATAATTGTGGCTACATCCAGAAAAAGATATTTTTTCTGCTTGATTTTAAACACTGGTTTAAATGTGGTTTTGGAAGCTTAGCCATCTGTCCAAATTGATTGTAAATAAATTGTAAATAAAATTGTAAATCTGTGTAAATTTATCTATTGCCCCCCAGTGCAGCAACAGCCCTGTGCAGGCAAACCCCCCAAAATGACTCTCTTTTGTTTTCTACTTACATTTTTTCCTTCAATAATTCCTTTATAAAGTATTTTTGCTGGAGAGGGAAGCTGGTTTCCTAGCTGTTTTCAAGATTTCTTTTTTAATTGTTCTTCTGCTGTTTAAAAAATCCAGATGTTTTTGCAAAACAGGGTTTTGAAAGCATTGGGGTCACATTTATAGCCTCATGTAATCAGAGTGCGCCACTTTACTTAGAAGGTAGAATTAAAAAAAAAAAAAAAAAAAAAGGCAATTCTGAGAAGTTTATCACTGGCCCAGAATCCAGATGAGTTTTGTCTTTCACTTGCATCATCACCACTAGTAAAAGCTCTGTATAAACTCACTGGTTCTATTCAATTATTTGCAACTACATTTCCTTCAAACCACGGTGTTCCCATTCTTTACCAGTGTCAACAGGTTTCCACAGGGGAAACAAAATGAAGCTTCCTGTGTGTCTCTGCAAGTG